ACCGACTTGCTCTACTGGGGCTTTGCGCACCAGCACGCCCCTGCTGCAGCTCCATCAAGTTTACACACTTTGAGACGATCCACAACGGCTGGGACCAACCGCGCGTTCAAAAGCAGTTTTGCGACGCGGCCCTCGCGACGAGCAACTCCAAGACGCAGACCGTGGGGAGCTTGATCTTGATTACGCACTCGATGGGCAACTTGATTGTGGGTGGTGCCGTCTCGGCGGGTGTCTGCAACCTCTCGAGCCAGGTGTCGTGGCTCTCGGTAAGTGGCCCGATGACGGGCAGCAAAGGTGCCAACTTGCTCGAGAACAAGTGTCGGTCGAACTCGTGGATTGACATTCCGCTCAAGGGCGCCGCGTCACTGATCGGGTTTTGCCCTGCGCCGGAGGCTTTTCTGAGCCTGAAGCAGCAATCTACGGTGGACGCCGCGCTCCAAGCCAAGTATGTCAAGGCACAAGCGGTGCGCAAGCAGTACGCGACCAAAACCATGTGCGGCGTCAGCTCGTGGGGCCTCAACACGGTTTACGCTCCCGTCATGTTTGTCGTGGCCCAAATGGCCCAGTACGCTTCGTCTCAGAACGACGGTATGGTCGAGTACTCGAGCTGCAACGTCGGTCTCAGCGGCTTCTCGAGCGACCCGACATCGTCGGGCAACTACGTCGCGAGGATCAACCACGCCGACGCGACCTTCCGCAACGGCGACGGGTGGTGGGGCAGCGACCGCAAGCCCGTCAAGTGGCTTGAGTGCGCCTTGTAAATCGTAGCACATTCTGTCGTCTTTCAATGCATTGCGTTGTCGTTTGATTGTATTGCGTTCATCCGTAGACCACCGAAAAGCAAGTCTTCTACCCACCGCCATGGGCATGCTAGTATGCTTCAACGGAAGGTTCTTGTATGAACGTTTTGTAGTGTATCAAGACTTTGCATTCATTATTCTGCCAAACCTGCAAGAAGAAATCTCGGTTCTATACTTTAGTATTGAAAGTCTTCCGCTCTCAACGAACTAGTGGTGTAGTCTTTCGAACGCTGCAGCACATGCTGCACGAATCAACATTGCTGGACCCACAATGGTGCTAACGATGCTGACGTAGGCTACGTATGATTGCTCTCTCTCGACATATCAAGGCGCCCGCTAGCAGTGCATCCAGTTGCATGCTGACGTCGAAATCGAATGCAGACGACGATGCATCATCGGTCGAGTTGAGCGTCGTTGAAGTGGTCGCGACTCAAAGTCTTGAGGTTGACGCAACATTGTTCGTGCAACAAAGGTACGCGGGGACACCCACGGATGCAAAGAGCGTTGGTCGTCGAGTAACTTCTGCTTTGGGCGTGGTACGTGTATCCCACCCTTGGTATCCAACGACTTGCTCTTCGATTTTGGTCGCCTTTGACGCGCCTATGCTTCATGACTGCACTGATCAGCACACCAAGATAGAGGAGATCCACGACCTTGACATGATCTGACGAAGGCGTTGTTGACGCAGCATAAATCAGGACTGATTCCGATAACACGGTATCTGAGTTGAGCGTGGTAGTGGTCTTGTTGTCCTCGCCGCACGTTCCACGACCAGATGGTCGATCTGAGTTCGGGGGTCGTGGTGGGACGCGACGGGACCTTGAAGTAGGATCGCGCTCAGATTGCTCAGCGCGCCCAAAAGAATACGGCTCTGCTGTGGAGAGGCACAGGCAGAATCGCGGATCAGCCATTGCCAGGACACGTATACGTCGAATCAGGTACATACAACAACAAAATTGCACCCGCAACACACAACACAGCCACGCATGTTGGACGGGACTCCATCTATAGTTTTCAGCACCCCGCGATTCCTCCACCCCATTTGAGGCCTCGAGCAAGCACTTCAGGTCACGAGCACACTACAAGCCAGGCACACGCCTGTATGGTACGTTAGATCTGCTCCCCTACCGATACAGTCCTGTACATGAAGCGGTCCGACGGCGGTTGTTGATATAACAAAGACAGACGCATCTCAGGCGTCGAATGACGATCCTTGCAAATGAGTACAACCAAGAAAGGATACTAGAGGGTGTTCCACACCCTACTGCAACAAGAATAGTGGTGGAGGTGCGTTCTGCGATCGCAGCCCAAGCAGAAAAAGGGGAAGAGGAGCTCTTTTGGTTCATGAAAAGACTGCAAACTGCTCCCGTGGACCTTCTCTGGCGAATCAAGACACACCAATTTGCGTTACCAGTCAAAACGATGCAAGGGGTGGTATTTAGGTTGCGAGCCAACATTAAGCGGTTCCACAAGTGCACCCCACGCGCAAAGCTGGCCCTGTCGACTCGACAACGTACACGTGTCTGAGTTGCTTTGATTCTCGCCACCTCGCATACATCTAAAGTAGCCAACCGTCGATCATCCATGGGTTCAAACCAACGGCCGTCGTCGTCCCCGTTCCGTACCCTCCGCCACCAAAGAGGATTGAAGCGGTCCTTTGCACCCAAAATACAGAAAACAATTCTGCACGACCATTGAAACCCTGCGATGTGGTGGTGCTGCCACGACAATGAAGTGCGTGAAAGCTCTCAGATTCCAATTTCCATTGCAGCATGCAGTTCTCGCCCAAGCTCGAGGACCCGATCCTTGCCCACGAAGACCAACCCACGCCGCGCCGCCGCACCAAGCTGCGCTGGATCGTCGGCGCCGTCGTGTTCTGCGGCGTCGTCTGCGCGTCGGTTGGCGCCCTCGTCGTGTACACGCACAAGGTGCGCAACAACGCCGCTGCCATCACGACCAATTTGCAGCAAGCACCCGGTCTCCTCGTCACGCTCACCGCCAAGCGCGCGAGCATGGACTTCAACGGCCAGACGTCGGCCCAAGTGTATGTGATTCCGCACACGGCGAGCGCTACGGGGGCCGTGTCGTTTGACGCATTCTTGTCGCATGTGGGCGCCAACACGACGCAAAACTACGTGCTTTTGGGCGGCCGCGCGTACACGTCGACGGTCCAGAACGGGGTGGTGGTCGCGGCGCAA